ATGTATCTACAAACTGATTATAAATTATTCTCACGGAGGAGCTTGAAGAATTGAGACTTTCAGATGATCCAGATGCAGATTCTTGATGGTCCCAATTAATGGTTAGGTGGAATGTTACCCAAGTTGCTCCCAATTTATTTTATTTAGAGATTCTCTAAGATTAAGAACTTTCGATTGCTTATCTGAACATTGATGAATAGATTAATACTATTTTGTATGTGCATTTTCCATTTTGTATTCAGATTTTTTGCGTCTACACCACCGTGATGTCAGGTGACCCCCATACAGATCCAATAGTTAGATCCCAGGGTAGCGGCAGCATAAAAAAGTGCCGCCTATGCAGTTATAACGAGGTGGGTTAGGTGCTGTATGGTGTATGGGTGGGGTGGAGGGTGCAGTTGCTACTTTATTACAAGGCAAAAACTGAGCCAAGCGGAAGACATCTCATTCCTGTCAACCCCGACCAACGTTTTTTAGCCTGTTTGCATAATTTCCCAAAGAGAAGCAACAATTGAGCGGCCGGCGGAAGAGAGCCTCCCCCCCCCCGGGTGGAGGTAGAGCAGCGGAGGCTTTCTGGGAGGGATGTCTCTGTCTGGCTTATATATTGAACCGTCTATCCGCACAGAGCAGGCACAATTGCGCAAGGGTTGCCACGTTCAGTTCAGTTCAGTTCAGTTTCAGTTGCGAAGAAGTTAGAAGAACAAGTTGAAAATGGTGAAAGAAAATGGCAGAAAAAAAGGCAGGCAGGAAGGCAGGCGGGCAGGCGGGCGGGCAGGAAGAGCTTACTTCCACAAACAAAAAAGGAGGATAAGGGATATGGTAGAGCAGGGTTACACACAATGGACTCCCTTATGTGTTCAAAAATTACATTTTAAGTTCTGAAATTACAATACAAAATTGAAATATCTTATTTCAACGTTGCACTGGGAAGCAATTTTTCATGCGTATAAAACAGAGACAGCGGCTAGGGTGAGCAGTGCGGAGTGAGGAGTGGTTTGCAGTGGTGGTGGTGCGCAGGGTGATTGTGTAACCAAGCATACAGATAGAGGGACAAGTGAAGCCACAGAAAGGACACCCATGGTGGAGAAGCTCCTCAGCTCCAGGGGCACAGACAGAGACAGAGACAGAGGCAGCTAACGAGCCGCATGGCAGACAAAACTTTACAAAATTTATCAACGAGTTCTTGTGTGTCTGTGTTTGTGTGTGTGTGTGTGTGTGTGTGTGTATCTGTATCTTTTGCATTTATGAAAATGTAATAATAACAAAAGACGCAATGCAGACGCGGCAAAAGTAAACTGGAAACAAACACACTCACAGCCCGAAGAACAAGAACAAGAACAAGGAAGCACACTGAGCGGAAGCATATGTGAGTGTGCCTGTTGTGTCTGCATGCAAGTGTGGCAACTCTAGACAAACATATGGCTCACTGAATGCACAACGTATCTGTGTCTGTAGCTGTGTCTGTGTCTGTATCTGTGTCTCCGTCTGCAAGTATAATTGTACGAGTATCTTCGGTGCTTGTGTGCAAACAAAATTTACAACTTAAAAAATTTGTCAAAACAAATTATCATAAAATGTTCATCAACCAAAAAAGAGCTGCCGACAAAGGAAAGTATCTGAGAGATACAAAAGTAAGAAAACAATGAGCAAGGAAATGGAGCCGCAAACTGGCAACAGGATTCTAGCAGTACAACACGAAGAAATTCTAAAGTTAAACGCTTTGAGGTCTGAGATATGCAGCAATCTTAAATCTGTTCAAACAAGGGACCTCCAAGCAATTCAAAGACTTGAAACAGGGACTCTGAAACCTTGGAAAATAATAAAGAAATGCTATATTTGGATAACAACGCGTTCCAATATTCCAATACAGCTATCCGCGATCTATAAGGGAACCGAACGTGGTAGTTTCAAAAGAAGGGTAGTAGAAGAAGGTAGTAAAAAAGGAGGTAACCAAATTGTTCCACAACCGAAAGATTAGTTGGAATCTAAACAGATGGCAGTGTGGATCATTTCTAGATTTCTAGATCATTATCTATTTAATTCAATAAAAGGCTATGCTAGAGAATATCTGTGCATGCCGTTGCAAGACGATCCAACTCTTTGGTGGTCAAAAAGGTAACGTCTAGACGCTGCAGTGCGCCCGAGCCCTTGGACTGCTTCGGATCGGAATCATTCTGTGTAAGGAGTTAATTCAGGGCGAGTTCGGGGTGCTGCAGGGAGTGTGCTTTATTTGCTCTACACTTAAAGCAAGAAATTTTCATTGAATTGAATTGGGTTTAAGTTTTGCGTATCGCTGCCAAAAGTTCCACTACACTGGTGGGCCACATGCAGCGCCATGTAGTTGACAAATTCCTCTAGTATGCTCTCTGCTATATGTTTGCCTTTAACTGTGCACTGAATCCTACTGGTACCTCTCTCTTGAGCGAATGAAACTCCAATTAGCAGCACAAATCACAGTCGGTAGCCAGCAGCAGACAGTATCGTTGGAGAGGACAAGTGGCGTCAGTGGCAGTAGAGAAAACCTCGAATCTCGAATCTCGGGCCAAAAACCAAAAACCAAACCAGCAGACCCTATCCCGCCCTTCAGCTATTTTTTCCCCACTCTAGTGACCTCTTCATCCAACAACAGCAACAAAGTTCACAAAAAGTTAAAGCCGCGTGTCCAGCAAAGTTGTGGGCATTAAATTGATAGAGAAAAGTCGCTACTATATCACCAAAAAAAAAAAAAACAACAACAACAAACAACCAACGATTGTTACTGCCATGGGGGGGGGGGGGGGGGGGGGAGGGGAATGGTACTTGGTGGAGAGTGAGAAAGAGAGAGAGACAGAGATTGGAATAGTGGGTTGGAGGGAGGCGGGGGGGATGGTGGTATGAGGTTACGGGGAAAATGTTGGAGAGTTTGCTGCGATATTTTGCCTTTGATAGAAAAACAATTTTTCTACTCCATTTCACGCGTTCAAGGCAGCGCCACAGAGCAGAGCGGGTACCAAAATGGGGGAAAATCACTCAGGGGTAAAGGAGGAGCAGAAAAAGAGAGAAAGAGATGTATATATCCATATACATATATATAGAGAGAGAGAGAATCGTCAGCGTAAAGATGCCGCCAGACCGATAAACGGTAGAAATGAAATAACAATAAAAACCAATTTTTTATATCGAACACCGAACTGAACCCCGCCGTCGTCTATCTCTCCTTCTCTCTCAGTCTCTGGCGAAAGTTTTCCTGACTGCGCGAGTGTCTGTGCTCTGTGTCGGTGCGTGTGTGAGTGTGTGTGTGTGTGTGTGTGTGTGGGTATTGACCCAATTTGTTGGCCTTGTTGCTGTTACCGTTGGCTGGCGTTTTCTTTCAGTGTACAAGCAAAAATATTCGAATTGAAAACTCAAAAACTACCTCGGACAGAAGGGGCTCCGGATCGAAGGGATCTATCACATCATTAGCAATAATGACTGAACATCCCATATTGATGTTTTTCCGTCTTAGAATCTCAATTAATTCATGAAAGGGAATCCACACATCGGGGGGCCATTAAAGACACAACAAGTATCCACAGAGCTGATTCGTTCGAAACTGCTTGGCTCACAGAAATTGTTCTGGTGGAGACAGGTTTGGTGGATTCTCCCCCGCTAGTCCCCCCCCCCCCCCCCTTTCACGAAAAAAAAAAAACGCTAATCACTATTGTCAATAGATAAAAAAATAAAATATAAGCTCGAAGTTTGAGCAGGTTTTTGGTCAGTCTTCTATTTGTTTGTCTGTTAGCTGACAAAACGAAGATGGGGGTCTGGAGATTGGCGATTGGTAAGGGGTATAGTGTATGCTCCTTATACGGGTTTGGTCCACAACTCATGCTTCAACTGACCTACAGGGCGTACATTGACGTTGAGGCGTTGGAGGCATTGGAGGCATTTTAGGCGGCGCCAAGGGCAGTGCCAATTCGAACTTTAAAAATCTTGACCATGAAGTGGAAGCTACCTGAAACGAAACCAGCGCTTAGATGGAGAGCAGGCGGTGGGTGATGTGGTGGGGGAATCTATTATGGGAACTACCCAAATGATGACATTCATCAGCTGTTGAGCATCTCCATACACATTATATTTATGTATTTTAAAACGATATACATATAAGTGAATGATTGGGGTATTCACTCCACTCATGATTGTATGCTGTGTTTTTTACTGGGCATTCTCAGCAGACATTTAATTTTCTCCCAGCCCCAAGGCTGTTAAGTGATTCAAATATATTCGAATAGATAACAGCCTTTCTCTTAGCCAAAAATCCCCCCTAAAATAATGATAATTTCGATGGAAAAGTGACAGAATATTTATCCATTTTGGATATTGGTTCAAAAACTTCAGAGCTGATTGAAATTCAGGGGGAAAAAAGAGCTTGAAATAAAAAAAAATAATAATAAAGTTGATTATCAAAAATGTTTGTTTATAGCAGCATCCCCTCGATGTCTTTTTGAAACGGGGGGGAAACGGGTTAAACGTGAATTTGTGGAATATTGAATATATGTACATATAAGCAATATTCGTTGACGAATCGAGCGTTGGCGCTAATTGTTGATTAGTTTAAAGCCCGATTACCAAACCGGCAGCGAGTTTAGAACGCTATCAAACGTTCGACGTCGAGCAACAGTCGCCCCACGCGCTCCATCGGCTCTGCTCCAAGTGAACCAACAACGAAAAAAAAATCCCCGAATAAAAACAGCACTCATACACGGATACTACATGTATCTCCGCACGCTGTGTGTGTATGTAGATACTTAACAACAAACACACCAACGAATACTGAAGCGAATGGAGAGCATATACCCGTTTCAACAACGACAAGACCGCAAAAACACTCGGCAGAGACACAATAAAAGTCGGCCAGCGGCCAAAAACGCGCTCATTGCGTGCGCTGTTTTCGTAACGGCAACGGAAAATTAGCCAGCCAGTGTTGGAGAGTGTGGGAGAGACGGCCCCTTACCCATACCATACCATAGAGAGATACAAGATACGGACACGAGGAGATACATGGCCAGGATGAGGATGCGACACGCATTTGTTGGATTAATTGTGTGCTGGCTGGCAGTTTGTCAACCGCAAGGTAAATATTTTTGGAAAAGGCGAAAGGCAGAACAGCAGAACGGCATTGGCATCGGCCATAGACAGGATAATGACAGGATACGCACATATACACCTACACACATACACATACTGACGGATTGGCGAGACTGACATGCTGACACACAGACACATACACAGACTGGGGGCTTTGGGCTTTGTTATTACAGCAATAATTGCAAAATTATCGCTGGATTTTGCGCGTACGTGCGATGCATTGTCAACAGCAACACATAAGTGCGGCCAGAGGAAAGTGCCACCAAAAAAGAAGCCCCAGAAGAAGAGGGGCAGAAAGGGGTAGGCTTATGTCTACCCAGCTTAACGGCTATCCAATGTTTGTGGAACCTTCGTTATGAGATATAATTATTGGGAGAGGACAGGGACAGGGCCTGAAGGTAGAGCAGAAAGTGTGCTACATACATAAATCTGTATTTGTAGATCTGTTTCGAACAGATATTTACGTTAGATCCTAGAATGTATCCATTATAGATCCATAGATAGGTGGAAAAAATTCAAATAATAATATGAAACAAGGCTATAGATCCACAAGTAAGTCCATTAGTTATATCAATAGGTTATTTAGATCAAAGAAAGATAAATTAAGGGAATGAAACAAATGCTTTTCAATTTTAGATGCTTACAGATGGAGATGGGGAGATGCAGAGAAATAGCTAAAGAAATGACTTTAAATGAATGGAAAGCGGTTGCTACTATAGATCTATAAATAGTTAGGTGTATTAATGGATTGCTGAATGCTTAAAATCATAATGAGTGAAGCTCGGATGTCCACTCGTATATCTGCAGGCAATTGGGGCATATGGTAATATATTTCTTTGAGATTGAAGCTTGAGATTGAGATTAATACCAAAACTTCTTAGAAATAGAAACATAGTCCAACTCTCTTCTAAGCAGACATCTAAGCTGTTCTATGAAGAGACGCTTGAGAGCATAAAGAGAACCAGTTTCAATTTCAGTTGAACGTTCCTCAGTTTTGGATTCTCTCTAGCCAACACTCTAGCCATCTCTTTCTGTTCTATGAGAAGGGAACATTCTCATAGTCATTTCGCTGAACAGTGAGTCCATTGTCCCCGAACCGAGCCTCTGCCCAACTCGAAGCAGAAACTGGAAAAAAACAGAATAACAATCTGAGCAAAAATCAAACAAACCAAATGATATTCAAATTAGAAACATTAAGCCAAAAAGTAGAAAAGAAGAAACCAGACGAGAGACAAAGAAGAAAAAACAAAAAAAAACAGACGCGTGTGGAGCAAGTTTGGGAGAGTTTTTTTTTTCTCCCGTGGAGGGGAGGGTTCCAGATATTACGAATGCATAGAGCCAGGGAGGGATCTATTTACTTTTGATAGCTGTCAGGGGGAATTATGAAACTTTCCGCTCATTCTGATACTGATGCTGACGTTCCTCCTTCTCTCTCCACAGCCAAGGCGCAGTTCGCGGGATTCGGCTTCCAGCCACAGCCCCAGCAGTTGGTCTACCAGCAGCAGCCCCGCCAGCAGCTCGTCTACCAACAGCCCTACCAGCAGCCCTACCAGCAGCCCTACCAGCAGCCCTACCAGCAGCAGCCCCGCCAGCGTCAGGGATCCGTATCCAAGGCCAATACGAACGCCTATGAGCGGCAGGTGGACTTCGGCAACAATTTGGAGTACACCCAGGGACTGTCGAACTCGCGGGCCGTGACCAAGCAGAACGGACAGCGCACGGTGACCAGAAGCCAGGCCCAGAACCGCGACGTGGATATTGGAGGGCTGCAGATCGGCAACACCCTGACCCGCACCAAGACCAATGCCAATGGCGCCGTCTCCCAGGGTGTTTCGGATCAGTTCAGGATCGGCAACCTGGGACTGGGAGCCTCGCTCTCGCCCACAAACCTCCAGCAGGGACTGGGACTGCAGCGCGGAGCGGACGGGGACCTGCGTTTGGGTCTCGGACTTCTCAGCCTGGATCTGGATCGGAATGTGGCCAACTCGAACACACTGTCGCAGGCCCAGGTGAATGCTCAGGGCAAGGGAGCCCGCGCCAAGTCGAACAGCAACGCCCAGACGAATACCCAGCAATATGGCGGCGTTACCGTCACTGACACCCGCTCGAACTCGAATGCCGTGGGCAAGGCACGGCGAGGCCAGACCTCGGCCAACACTGGTGGCTTTGGCGGAACTTCCGCGACCAATGGCCAGACCTACGGCGGTCCCTTCCAGCAGCGTGTGGTGCGACAGCCGCAGCCGGTGGCTTTTAGGCGGCCCAAGAGGCGGGCCCAGTACGTGCCCTTCGGCTATCCTGGCGGCGGTTACGGTCCCGGCTTTGGGGCCGGCCTGGGACCCTTGGGATTTGATCGTCCACGTCGTCAGTTTGGCGCTGGTCCCGGCTTTGGCTTTGGGCCACCCCAGTTTGGCGGTGGCTTCAACAACTTTGGCCAGCCGCAGTTCGAGCCTGAGCAGCATCATCACAATAAGAAGAACAACAGGAATGAGCAGCAACAGCAGGCTCAAGGCCACGCCAATGCCCAGGGTGGACCCGGCTTCAATCAGCAAGCCTCGACGAACAACCACGCCAGTCCTGGTAACACGGGCTCCAGCAGCATCGGCTCGAACCTGGCCCAGGACGGCAGTAGCGGCCAGGTGAGCTCCGCCAACACGAACCAGCAGAACACTCAGACTGCCGATGGCTTCGACAATACCCAGAACTCGCAGAGCCAGGCCCTCAACTTCAAACCCGGGGAGCAGCAGGCGTCCAGCGCCAATGCCAACACAAAGCACACGCAGCAGGGCAACCGGGAAACCGTAGACTCCAACAGCGGCTCAACAGCCACCAACAACAACCAGTTTGGCTCCTCCACGAACACGGCCCAGACCAACTCCCAAGTGGTGCGGGATGGCAATCGGCAGGACGTCACGAGCGACGCCAGCAGCCAGTCGATCTTCCAGGGCAATGGCAATGGCGGCCAGGGCAATGCCGCAGCCAATACTAATGCCCAGACGAGCTCCCAGACCGGCCCCAACGGTTTCGTCAGCAACTCGGCCTCGAGCAGCGCCTCGGCCACCAGCCAAAACGGACAGTCGGCCAATGCCAATGCCAATGCCAGTGCCGGCGGTCCGGGTGGCAGTGGAGCAAATGCCGGCGCCAATGGCGGTGCCTTCAATGGCTTCGGTGGCGGCGGTGGGGCCAATGCCAACAGCAACGCCTTCGGCGGCTTTGGCTTCTTTGGCCGTTAGTTGAAGATCTCTCCTCGAAAGAGAGTTCTCATTACATTTTTTTTTAACATGTACTTCTTTCTTTTTGTCGTCTTCGTCTGCCCCATAAGTCACTCACTCAAGGCACTCTGGAATAAAAATGCATTTGTTTATGTTACATCACCAACAGCACTGAGCACTAGAGCACTGAGTTTGGGCTTGGCGTTAGAGCATCACTCTGCACTTTTGTTACTCAATTTTATGTTTTTTTGTTTTGGAGCACAGGAAGCTGTTTGTAAAACACACACCAAAAGATTCCCAGACCCAGATTCCCCCCCACTGATCTTCCTTCGAGCACCTACACATGTATCAGTGTTATTTTTGTTCCTCAAATAGTGTTGCCTGCTTTTAGGCTAAAATCTAAATCAAATCATACATTTCTGATGGAAAAACCTTTGCTTCCTTCCTTCCCCATTTCAATCGTACCAGTAAGACATCGAGCCCAGCAACAGGTGCGACTCCAACGCTGGCGTCCGTCTCTTTTCAATGGCAGCAGAACCAGCTCCGGCAGCAGCTCCTCCGCCTCGAGCAGCTCCACGAGTATCAACGATAACTTTGAGTATGTGTACATCAATCACTCCTCGCGAATGGAGGACCTGGAGGAGCCTTCAGCCACGAAGCCAAGTGATATTCCGCCCCTACTATCTGGTTCGGGATCGGGATCCCTGAATACATCTGTAGATGCGTTCGGGCCGTTCGATACCACCCAGCGACAGGGACGTACCTTCGGCGTTATCTACGACTGGATTAGTGGACTCTTCAACTCCTGTGTGTCGCCCTGCACTCTGGAGGCGTTCCAGGAGCAGCGGTGTTGCGAGACCTATGTTGTGAATCCCTCATACCCACCGCCGCTGCCGCCACCACCCCCTCCGCCACAGACTTGCTGCAGTCCAGTGGGACCTCCACCACGGCCACTTCCGCCTCCGCCGCCACCACCACCGCGTCCTTGGTATCCGCCTGCCTATCCGCCTCCCTACCCGCCGCCCTATCCACCCAACAAGAAGACCCCCGTGGTGGTGGTGGCCACGCCAATCAACTGCTGCACCGTCTGCACCTACACCTACTACAGACCACCGCCATGTGGGCGGTACAACAGCAGTGGGGGGGATGGCAAGCGGGTGACCATCTATGTGCCGCCGCCCTACTACGGGCGCTAGAGATCCCCAAGCACCAAGTCCCAATCCCCAATCCCTCCTCCTCTGTCTCACACAATATACTATGTGGTTGTAATATCTCTTTGTTTGTTCTCTTTCGGCTTTGCTAATTCCAAAAACGCTTGCATAATCTCCAAGAGAGAGTTGGGGGCACACGGTGGGGCAAAGCTTTGTGGCAGGCGCCCCTGCCCCTGCCTCTGCCTCTGTGGGGCTGTCAAAAATGCGGCAAATAAGACATACGACAAGACAAACGAGAAGAAGGAAGGGGGGCTCGAGTGGGGGAACCAGGAGTTGACTGCACCTATAAAAAGGCATGAAGTTGCCGCACACTAACTGAGAAGGAGTAGCTGCTAAGGGTATCATATCACACATTTTGCAAACATTTTGGATCTCTGAGGATCTCTCTGTGTGAGGTACAATGCTGTCCACCAAAGAAGCATCCAAATTTCCCTTTAGAAAGGCTCAACGATCATTCATATTCAATTCTGGTTTGATATCCGTTTGTGGTAAGAACATCCCATATTCGTTGCTCGTTTGGCCAGAACACCAGGTTAACTTGGCCTATCTTTGTCGCCTTTTGTTGTAGGGCTTCCTTTCTTTGAGCCTCCGTTGTGCCGTTGACTTTTCGCCCAAGCAAAATGTGCCATGTGTTTATGTGTGCTTGCATTTTTTGTTGCTGCTGCTTTGTTTGTGGCACGGGGCAGGCTGCAAATTTATAACAGACCCAAGCACGAGCCAGAGGCAAAGACACAGTCTAGGGCTCAGAGTCTTGGGTGCTGGCAGCTGGCAAGCTGCCACATACGAGGACACTCTTAGGCCCAGACACACACGAGAACACACGACAGGACATGTCACGTCAGCGGCACAAAGCACAGCACAAAAGCCCTGATAACTGCACTCGCCTGATAAGCGCCAGAAAACAAGGCCAACAACCACCCACAGCCCACAGCCCACAGCCGGCAGCCGGCAGCCGGCAGCCCACAGGAGGGAGAGGGACCAGCCAAACCCGGAAGCAGAGACCGGCACATCGCGCCCCTTTTGTCATTTCGCTCATAACGTTAATTTATATTCAGTTCAGTCTAAAAAAAAAATTCCAGTAGTAGTACAATGAAACCCATGTGACAGCCAGTAAGGAGGCGAAGAGGCGGAGGATCCAAGCCGGGGAAAGTGCTTACGCCTAGGGAAAGTGGGCAACGAGAAGGAAGAGGCAGGGCCCTCTCTGCTTAGTTGTAGAACTGCTGCTGCTGGCGACGACGCGCTGGAGTGGCGGCCACATAGCGACGTCCCTGGCCCGGGGAGGAAGAGCTGGAGCTAGAGGATCCGCCATCGTTGGCGGAGTACAGCAGCAGGGGGATCTCCTCTACGCTGGTCTGCTGAAGGTGGGCCGAGTTGCGGACACCAGAGCGTAACAGCTCATCGGCGGAGAGGCGACGCAGGCCAGGAGCAGCGGCTGAGACTGCCACTGGGGCGACTGCCGCTGGGGCAGCTGCTGCACCATCGAGCACCTGATCCTCATCGTTCTCGGGCTGATCGAGCACCAGATCCTCTGGCTGGGCGACGGCAATGCTGTTGCCTACGGCAGCGGACTCTTCCTCGGCGTCCGCGGACGAGATGGAGCTGCTCTGGAGCAGGGCCTCGATGTTCTCGAGGTTGGTCAGGCCGTTGATCTGCAGCTGATCGTGCAGCTCGCTGGGAATGGCTATGGCCTGGACGTCCTTGTGGCCGGAGATGCCATTGGGCGTGGGAATGAACTGAACGTTCTCGGGGATCTGGTCGGTGGGGTAGACGGGCACCAGCTCGGCCTCGTTCTCGTTAGTCGACTTGAGTAGGATCAAGGAGATGGGCACGATCTTCTTGAACTTCAGCAGCACCAGCTTCTTAATGGCCACAGCGCCGGGGAAAACGCGGCCCTGGGGACCAGCATGAGGTTTCGAGATCAGGGCCCGCTGCTCAAATTGCTGCCGATGATGGTAGCGATGGCCGGGAACATGACGAGCTGAAAGTTGGAGATGAAGCTGGATTATCAATCTTTAAAGATACGAGTATATCCTTAAGAAGGCTGCCAGGGGATGCATTCTACGATCTCTGCGATCGCAAAGATCCTTACTTTGACTCCTCTTAGACATACCTTCGCTGATGGCTACCAGAGCCAGGCCAATGGCCAATAGGGCGACCAACTTAATTGCCATAATGATGTGGATGTTGCTGCTGCTGCTGCTGTTTGGACCAAGTCAGGTGTGTCTTCTTGGTGTGTCGCTGGACGAGCGGCTCTATTAAATGGTTCAACAAGTGCCCCAGCAAAGACATTTTATATTGGGAGGAACGTTCGCCTGCCTCGAAGCCAGAGAGACACATAAAAATCGCTCGTATAACGAGTGGAAACAAAAGACATTAGCAACCGAAAACATAACGATGCGAAATTCTATTGGAAAGGGGCGAAAAAAGAATGGCCCAGCCAGAACCAGAGCCAAAGCCACAGCCAAAGACGTCTGCACGCCGATTGGCAAATTATTAAAGTATGCAAATGTACCAGACTAGTCACTTGATTTATGTATATTCGAATCCCCGTATCTCCAGAAAAAACTAGAAACCCCCCGCCCCGCCATCACCCATGGATCCCAGACAGCTCGCTGCACACATGTAGCCGAGTCGTTGACCGACTCAGACTCGGACTCGGACTCGGAGACTGTTCTTTTTCCGATTTTATGGCTGACTCCGATTCCGATTCCAATTCCCAATTCGATTTCAGATGCAGTAAACCTCAAACGCCCCCCCGCATCTTAGGCCAGCTTTGGGTTAATTTGGCCCTGCCCGCCAGTCGGCAGAGAGAGAGAGAGAGAGGGAGAGAGGGAGAGAGAGAGCATTTGGCCAAATCTAAAATCGAAATTTGCATTTTGGGTCGTCGGTGACGTTGCTCTGTCGTAAAAGTTCCCCCCCGTTCCAAAAAATGTGTCCGATTCTTGAGCCAATTTTGAGGTCAAAAGTGAGATTTTCAATAAGTCAAGCGGCGAGCATCCATAATGGGTGGGCCTTGTGGAACACATTTGTCACTGTCCACGGAGGGCGAGGCCCTTTTTCTCTCCATCTCTCTTCCGAGCAGTGTCAAAGTTCAAAAGAAACTTGTTCCTAATATGGTCAGCCCAGCATTTGGGCCAAAAACCATTCTGAGACAGCATGTGTTCCCAATTCGAACTACATCCACATCGCATCCCATTAGTGGCCACAAACAGACAACGGGTATTTAAATCAATCAATTGGATCAAATCAATGGAAAGATATTCTTTTCTTCGCCTTTCTTTCTATCTATTGAGCTTGGCTCCACTGAATATACGGGAAATGGTTCGATTTCTTTAACCCTAAGATGGTCTTTGCTGTGCATTCAGTACAGTCTCAATCATAATAATTATTTGACTAGCTATATCTTTGATATCGACACGGAACGATAATCCTTTGAAAGTTCAAACAATTTTCTTTTAAGCCCACAAATATCGGCGCTGCAGATGCCCAGTAAAAATTTTATATGTGCAAAAAGTCAGAAAATCGCGGTTTTTATACCTGATACTCAAAATGAGTATTAGGGTATATTAGATTTGTGGTAAAAGTGGATGTGTGTAACGTCCAAAAGGAATCGTTTCTGACCCCATAAAGTATATATATTCTTGATCAGCATCAATAGCCGAGTCGATTGAGCCCTGTCTGTCTGTCCGTCCATCCGTCTGTCCGTCCCTATTAGCGTCTAGTGCTCAAAGACTATAAGAGCTGGAAGTGCCAAAATCTTGAAGTATAAGGTATAAAAATATAGAAACAAATATATGCACGGCGATATCGACGGTACAGCTGATGTTTATCCAGAATACATATACTTTAGTGGTAGTACTTTGGTAGCTTTTAAAATGTTACAAAAATGACACAAAAACTCTGTTACAATTTAACAATAATTAAATAATTTAAATTAATTTGTTAATAGAAAAAAACCATCCAATTAGGAATTACAATACCCCATGAAAAGGAGCCCAGTTGTTGAGCCTGTTATGTATGATATTAAAGAAAATTACAACTTTGAAAGTAATTTTGTTCAGCCTGTGCACTATTGGCAAAAATACACTGATATTTTTTGTATTGATGCTAACTTTAAAGCTAGCGACTTGAAAACTTGCACGAATATCCGTTAAAATAAAGTTCAATTTTAAATTTGTTTGTGTTTTAAATATAATTTTTCATTTTAAATATTAAATAACGGATGCTGTTATGGCAGTATAGATGATTTCCTTAGATCTGTCCTTCATAATTCGATTTTATTGCTTTGAGTAAGACTGATAGGATCATATTGAAAAGTTTTGTTACTTTTAGAATATAACTATTTGCAACTACATAAAATTATTCTCTAAGAGAGAGCGCATAAAAAACACAGCGAAAATTTGTTGAGAATAAAACACAATTTCCCTTACACCTTTGCAGTTGAAAGCCTTTCATATTTAAATTTGCTTGCTATGGCAAGATTTCCACACTAAATTTGTTGAATTTGACCGTTAATAAAAATATGCAGGGTAGGTCCCTAAGAATGTTTTAAAATACTATTTAGGAGTATTGAAGTATTTTCAATTCAGAAAAAAATCCAATTCTAAGAATCTGAAAAACAATCAAATTTGATTTATCCAAAATATAAGGGTATTTTTTTTGCCATAGTGCTCAACAGAGTAACATATCCTTTAGAAAGACAAAATAGGGGTGGTCGGACAGCCTTTGTGAGAATACAATTTGTACTTTTGACTCAAAGAGTTGTAGTTTCATATTTGTCTTAGTGGCATAGCAATATTTTATTAAAATCGGATGATTATCCTTCGACTGACGTAGATTAATCGATCTGGAAAAGTATCTCTGCTTCGTATATTTCATGCCAAAGCTGAAGCTGAGCTTTCACTATAAATATTTAATATTTATTTATAAATATATATAAATAAATATTTATATTTATATATATATAGCCCCAACCAAATCCGATGTCATTCAGGGCATCTATGCATCCCATGGGCCGCTTTCACTGACTTCCTTCGTC